TAAAAAAAAAAAAAAAAAAAAAAAAAAAAAGCTAACATAGTTTTGGGCTGCATCAGTGGGGATGTTAGATGCAAGCTGTAGGAGGTGATGGTGTCCCTTTACTTAGCACTGGTTAGGTCTCATCTAGAGCAGTGGCCAGCAACCTCTTTCAGGCCATGGGCTAGAACAACCTAGTGCTGGTCTGACATGCACCAGGTGGCTTTGGTGGCGGGGAGGGGGTTCCCTATTCCCCTGCCAGAGCCACACAGCTGGGAGCTGTGCCTTTCTTGCTGCTCCTCTCTCAACCCCCTGCTCCCCAGCTGTCGTGCGAGCACAATTTCTACGTGGAAGAGAGCTGCACCAGAGTTGGGGAGCTGGAAGCTATTTCTGCTTCTCCCGTGCCCCCCAGCCCCATGCAGGTCTCCTCCTTCTCCAGCTGGCAGCTGTGCTTACACCACGCACTTGAGAAGGGGGGCACAGCTGGGAGAAGTGGCACAGTCACAGCTCTCCCGCTCCAGTACACCTCCTTGTTGCTCAGCTTCAGCATGGGGACAGCACAGGCAAAACACTGCAGCTCCACAGACCAGAACCAGTGGCTTTTGAGCCATATGTTGCTGACCTCTGTTGTAGTGTTGTGTGCAGCTTTGGGTTTCACATTTTTACAAAGAACATGGAGAAGTTAGAGATGGCCCAGAAGCAGGTGACAAAAATGATAAAAGACAGATGGCAAGCCACACAAGGAGAAGCTGAAATAAGTAGCTATGTCCAGCTTGCAGTAAAGATGATTAAGATGGGACGTGATAGCAGGGAGAATATTGTTTTGTTGCTACAGAAAGCAGGGTGTGGTCCAGTGGTTTAAAGTTGCAGCAAAGTAGGTTTAGCTTGCATACTAGGAAGAACTCCTTCACTGTTAGAGCAACGAGGCAGTGGAATCAACTGAATAGAGAAGTCATGGGATCTCCATCTTTGGAGGCTTTCAAGAGCAGGTTGGATAAGCTGGGTCAGGGATGATTTAGGAGTAGACCTACCTAAAGCAGGGGTGGGCAAAATGGCAGATTTGGCCAGCAGCTGGACTCCATTTCCCAGCAGCCCCTGCCCACATTGCTGTGGCTGCTTTCCACGGAGACCCCAGGAGTGGCAGAGCCAGGGTTTCTGTGGAGACCAGCCCCAACAGCACTGGTAGGTAGGGCAGGCAGCTGGGTGAGGAGCTGCTCTAGGGCTAGGGCTGGGGCTGGGATCTTGCAGCAGTGCCAGTGTGGTCTGGAGCTGAGGCAGAGCTGCAATCTGCTGCCTGCACACCACTGCCCCAGAGTGTGCAGACAGCGGATCGCAGCTCTGCCCCATGCTGTCACCACTGCAGGATCCTGGCCCTGGAGCAGCTCCCTGCCCTGCTGCACACCTTGCCAGCTCTGCTGGGGCCAGTCTCCATGGAAAATTTAGCCCCACATTGTCACAGCTCTGCTGTTCCTGGGGCTTTCATAGAAACTGGCCTGCAGCGACATGAGTAGGAACTGTTGGGAAGTGGAGTCCACCACAGGCTGGACTTTGCTTGTCCCTGCCTAGAGTATGCTGTACAAAGTTGGAAGCCCAAGTACCATTTACAACCCCTGGCTGGATGTGGGATCACAAGAGATCTATAGCCTAGAGCGGGTAGATATTGTGCTCAGCAGCAGGAGAATGAAGCAGAATTTGACAACCAGTGCAGTTACAAAAAAAGATTAAAGTTAGGATATGTTTATGGAGGGACTATAAAAAGGTAGAAAAGGGAGTTCAGTCTGTCTGCTTAGAGGGTGTGACTTGCACAGCTATGCTCGCTGTCCTGTCACCAGGCTGCTGAGTAAAATGGAGGGTGATTGTTTTTCAATACATCTGGGCTTTACTGATTTGCAAGGTGGATTTAATATAAATCAAATAGATTTAAATCATAATTTAAATAATCAATTTAAATCACTGGTCAGGAAGTCTCAGTCATTGTTAAATGATTAACAATGGCACTTCTGAGTCTGTCAGGGAGCGTGCTGTCCTCCCCACCCCCCTCGCGCCCCCTCAGCTCGGTGACTGGTGCCTGCTGGGTCTGTGGGGGGACCAGGGTTCCCCTGCAGCTAATCGCCAAGCCAGGGAGGCGCAGGGG